ATAGTAATTATATTAATATACTAATCTTAAATATAAGCTAATTATAATTTTTTAATTTAAATTATAAAATACTTTTATATATTGTTTTTTTTAGAAAAAAACAATATTTATATTTTTTATAATTTTATTTAAAGTATTAAAATACAGTATATTTAAAAAGTTTAAAAAGTTAACATTATTTATAAATGACTTAATAAATTAATTTTTTTTACAATAAAATAGTTGATAAATAATTGAAATATATAAAATATAATAGTCTTATTATTAAAGATTCAAAAATTATATATTTATCCAATAAGCTTTTTAATATATATATTGTAATTTGTAAACAGTTTAGTTATAATATAATATTTATATATTTTAAAAACCAAGTATAATATATATATAGTTTTTTTTTTTTAGAAAGTAAATATTATTTCTTTATTTGATTTATATATAACAAGATATATATTATAAAAGAAACAATATCTTTTATATTTTAATACAACAAGTTAAATACTAGCTTGTCTACAGTAACCATATAATTAATATTGAAAAGAAAGTTTAAAATAATATATCTTATTATATAATGCCAAGCAGTTATAAATATCTATTCAATATTAAAGGAAATAATATTTGATAGAGATAATATTAGATTTTGAATATATTTAAAGAAATTATAATTATATTAAATAAAAGAGTTAGTAATTATTGTAGAAAAGCTGATAATAATTTTATCTTAAATAATATTGAAGTATAAGTTTTCTGTAAGAATAGTATAGTTTTTTCTTTTTGATTTGGTTGAATTGATAGTATTCAATAATTTGCTTAGATTCCACTTGATACTAGTAAAGAATGATATATTGGCAGTATTATAGTATAGTTTTCAAATTAAGTTATACAATTGAACTAAAGATTCTGTTAGTGCTGTGATCCAATTAATAGTATCTGCTATGGAGAAAATTTTGTTGATTACTTTATATAACAATTCCACTACTTGTTATATATAGAAGATTAATCTAATATATATATAGTTATTATTATTAATTATTAAAAATTATATATATTTATTATATGAATAGTTTATTAGCTATTGCTAATTTAACTTATATTCTTTGCTTTAGTTTTAATATATATATTATAAATAAATCTATATTTAAGTTTTTGTATTATATTTTTTTATTTGTAAATATAAGATAAGAAAAATTTTGTTTAATAACCGAAACTCTTTTCAATAGTTTTTTTTTTAGTTTTAATAATTTGAATTTTTTTTACAATTAAATTTCTAATTCAAATTATATTAAAATCAAGTAAAATAATAAAGATTTAGTTAAATTTTAAAGTTTGTTAATCTAATTTTAGATATTAGTTAATTGAATATAACTTATTTAAAAAATTAATCAATTTGAATAAAAAAAGTAATAGTTTACTATAAAGTTTATTATATTAATTGAAGTTGTAAACTTTTATAAAAGTTAGATTAGAAGTCTTATTTTGTGCAATCTTTTTTGCTTCAATCTATTTTCAACTACAATTTTTAAAAAGATCAAGATCCTATTCTTATATAGTCTAACTAAATTTGATTTTGATTAAGAATTATTGAATATAATATATATAAGATATTTAGTAAATTCACAAATAAAAAACAATATGTTTTTGTTTTTAATGGATATTAAACTAGAAATATATATTTGAAGACCTGAAAGTACTACCTACTATACTATTAATTTATAGATTATTTATATTATATTATTGTATTCATAATTATAAAAGATTAATAAACAATTTTAGCTTATAACTTGATTAAAAATAAAATAAAAAATAAAATTATTAAATAACATAATAAATAAATAATTTGTCAATACTCTCAAATCTATATTAAAAATATCAAATTTAATTTTAAATAAAGACAATTGACTAACTTAAAATAATATTTGATATTATAATTTGCTATAGTATTATTTCTTATATAAAGTTGTTTTTTATATTAATTTAATAGATATTAGAATTGTAATACTATAAAAATATTATCTTTTTTTGCAAATTATTAAAAAGATTCTGTTTTAATCCAATAATAAATTATTTTGACAATTATTTATTCTGAAAAACAATTGTAATATGTAAATTAATATAAGTTCTTTATTGTTTGAATAACTTTAAGAAAGGTAAAATCAAATGATTTATTCAATTGTATGTGGTAAAGGTCTAGAAGGTTTTTTATATAGTGTTCTAATTTATTAAATATAAGTACTATATCCAGTTTCCTTATTCAATCTCTTTAATTTTTCTAGTTAGAAATAGAACTAACAGATATAATACTAACAAGTTGATATAGAATAAAATTAATATAGTCTAATATATACTTGGAACAATTTATATTTACCCACTTCGAGATAATAATTAACAAATCAAGGGAATAAAATATTTAACAAATCTTAATAAATCTTACCCGCGGTAAATAAAAAAACTGAAATTTCTAACAATTAAGGTTTGTTTCTTATTTGTTTATATGCTATGACGCCCCCCACACTGGTGTATATACGATATAGATGTCATCATTTGCTGTTTCGGGAATCGCTCCGTTTTTGGACTTCACTGGCTTTTTGATGTTCGTTAAGAAAATCTCTACGTACTTGCTTATCGGTGTCGCATGGTATTTTTCACGTTTCAGTAAGCAAGACATCTGATACCAATTCCGAACTTAACGCCTGTGATACTTCACGTGATACCATGTTTAATGAAATTCTTGCCAATAGTGGCCGACTCACCACCAAGCTTGCCAATCGTATAACCAAACTCACCGATTACCGTGTCAAATTTAACGCTGAACTTACCTCACGCGGAGGTCCAAAGAATCTTGACAATGCTTGATACTTCTACTGCGAGACTTGATGAGATCGAACAAGTTCTTCAAAACTACCATAACAATTTTGGTAGAGTCGCAACCGAATTCGAATCAATCAATGAAGCTATCTCAACGTTCTAAAGGATCGAGCCTATTGAGAGAGCAGAACTTCGAGATAATGACTCATCCTTATCTGATGGTCTTTCATGCTTTATTCCTCCCTCTAAACGTGATATACTCCATCATTTATATCGTGTTCGTTTTGCAAAAAATGATGATTTGTATAACAGTCAATCAGAATACAAGATCAGGTGTAACGTTGTTTTATTATACGACGCGAGTTTCCCTTTTTGACGCGCGTTTCACCCTGTCGTAACATTATTCTCCTTTTTTAAATATCTACAGAATGTTAAATGAGTTATACCCTGGCCAAGCAGGTAATGATCACAAATAGTCATGGTATAAGAGAACAAGAATTACTTCCGATTAACCTGTTTGTGTTTAAAATTCTTGCAGAGCTCATCGCTTACCTCAACAGCAAGGATCCGTCTAACTGGTCTTTTTTTGACTTTCTTTCTTCAAATTTTGAAGTGATCGTTAATTCGCCACCAGAAACCAACGATATTAAGGGTCTTGCTGGCACTTGGTTGAAACGTTTCAGGTTTAAAGTAGAGGAAAAAGGATACAAAGTAACTAAGGTGAATATGTTTCAACTTTGGTAGAAGGCACCTCCTACCAGGTGATACCTGAGATATGGAGTATGAGTTGTTTACTCGCCGAGTGTTAGGGGGTTTTTAAAAAATCTTGCCAGGTGCTACCTGAGTCAAGAGGATCAGTAGACTTACTGTTCCCCCTATATGCGATCTTTCTTTTTATGTTTTTTACCATTAATCTCGTGTGAATAGATATATTGTTTTACTAACTATGAATAATCGTAAGAATAATAATATTAGTAGCATACAAAAATTTTTTTTCAAAGTAGTTTCCACTCGATTGGAGGTTGGTTTTCAAGCTTTACTAACCCCTTTTCATTAGCATATTGACACCTTTAATTATGATTCTAAACATGCAATAGATTGCACGACAACAAAATTTTGAAATTTTGAAGGTAGGTCTGAATCGATTTTACACCTATAATTATTCGGCAGATTAATAGAACTTATTCATAATTCACATAATTAGTCGAAGACTAAGATTATTGCGGACGAGCAAGGTATTAACCTTGTGGGAGCATCATGTGGATTTTACGGATCCAAAATTATTACAGAATATTCTCATAATCATCCAAATTCAAAGCGTGACTTGAATGGCGACGAACATATTGAAGACGACCGGGTTTTAAAGAAAAAACGATGTGCAGACGATTATGGATCAACTCCAAACAAGGTTAGAATATAATGTAAATTTAACTAGCAAAAACACCATGTAAATCTTTTGTATGTGTGTATAGATCAGAACTATCAACGAGGGGACTTCTCAAGAAAAAAGATACGGTCGTGATTCATCACCCCACGATGAAGATTATTTTTCATCTGACTCTGACTCCGAGATTGTACCTGTTTCTCTTACGAACGTCTTTCTTGAAACTTCCGTCGAGCATGAAGGAAATCCAGACCAGGCAGCCGAATTGGATACGTATTTAATATCAACAAAGGAAGTGGAAGTTAATAGTCGGAAAACCAGAAGACCATATATCACTCGTGATATAGCAGAGGAAGTTCTTAAGAAATATCAAATGAGTGTTTTAGCGGGCAAGAAGTTAACATACAATAATGTAGACGTGTTGGATTTTGTTCGTTCAAACATTAACAAAGATAAGACCACAAAAAGCCCTCTATGTATTAGGGTTATTAACGTCCATAATCCCGACTGCACCAAGTTTTTACCCGACGACTTTAAACGTTTTATTGCCAACCAACTTCAAGATCAAGACTCCGAGATCAAGGCTGTCTATTTTGCTGCTGAGCAAAGCATCGATAAGTTTGTGGTGGATTGTGGGGAAGAGGTATTGCAATTCTTGGAGAAGTTCAGCGATATAGGGGATATGGAGTCTTTGGCAAGATGTCTAAATGAAAATCCGATCGATATGTCCAACGCGTCGAACGACCTTATTTTTGTGCGGACCCTCTTTGATCATTTCTTCTTCTTGTACAAAAACAACATTCTACTACAGCCCATGTCTGAAAGCGAGCTTAATGCGTATGTTTGGACTCCGTTACTTAGGAACGCCTTTCTCGGAAAGGATGATATGAAATTAAGTTGTGGGGAGCTAGCTTCTAAGTCATATGAAAAACTCAAAGAAATCCTTAACATTGCTGGTCGTAGTGCTCCAAAATTAGATGGTAAAGGGTTTCTTAAATCTTTAGGCACCGAAATCCTTGCTCAAGAAGACGGTGTCCTAAACACCCACAGCAAAAGGATAGGTGATCTCCGGAAATTAGAGTATTGCACCAAAGTGATCCTCACAACCCTATTCTTTGCGCTTCCCTCTGCCGCCAAAGCAGATATCACGAAAATCGAAACTTACAATCTTCAATCGAATGGATTTCGTCTCAAAATTTCTGCATCGAAGTATTTGTTTGAAGATACCATTGTTACGATGGATTTACAGCATGTGGAAGTTCCAAGGACCGTGGAGGGATTTTCTAAGCTGGTGGTTGGTGCAAAAACAATCCTGTCCTGGAAGGCGCGGACTAAGAATAATACAATGGCTTTTTATGAGGCATTAAGGAAAGGTCATAAACGCTTAACAAATGGGGCCTTTTTTTCGCCAATAAAGATATCTGTATAGATTGGATCCGAGTGGATTGTAAGTTTTCAACTTCGATGTAAATAGGAATGGTCACGAAACAGGTTTGCCTATTGTAATCAAAACCTTCAGGTTATTTTATCATTATGACACATGACCTGTGGGTATATACGTATATCATAATCTAAAATAAAGCTTCTCTATCATTTGTATTGTTTTATTAATTAGTCCCCTATTTTACTCTCAATCTTCATTTTACAAAAATAAAGAATTACGCTTTGACCTTGTTAATTATGCATTGCTAAGTAATTTTTCTTCGTTATCTTGGTTTCATTGACTCCGCTAACGTGTTATGATATTTTAGAGAATGTTTATTTTTATGATCATTCATGCCAATATATAAGGTTAGTGCCGAGCCGTGACGGAATATTTGCCGAAATTCGAAGCATGTTTATGTATTTGGTATTTATACGGTTTGTAATTCTATTATCATTGATTTGCATTTTCAGCAAATCAGGTAACCATCATATATTCACCTCTTACCAATCAACAATTACCTACCTCTGCTTCTCATGCTTCTTTTTTCTTGCAAAAGCATACATTATGCATCTTGAGTAAGACATCAACTCTATTTTAACAGCTCATCAAATAATATTGCTTTTATATGGTTTTGTCTATTATTTAATACACTAGAGTTATTGTATATCCCAAGCTATCATAATAAGGAATTAATTAGCTGAAGAGCTAGTAAGGCTAAGCAAACAATGATCATATCCAACATAGAAGAAGAAACCTTTATTCATTACGGTAGCAATGACCATTGTAGTAACAATAGAACTCAATTATTCTATGATTTGAAAAAAGTATGCTAAGTATATATTTAGATCGCGAATCATTGGATTATAATTGTCTTATCAATAAGTGGAGGAAGTCTGAATTAGCTTTCCACTTAATTGGGCAATTAGACATGAAATAATTCAAAAGATTCTACCTTAGTATGAGATAACACATTTTAATTTGTAATTATATATTGACTTGATACAATTTCTGAATATATATTGGCATAAAACCTTTATCGAATCAACTGATTGTAAGACTCGAGAATATATTAAAATCTAATGGATTTCTTATAGCAATTCTATCAGCATATATATACAAAGATATTAGATTGGATAAAAAAAAAGAAAACAAAGAATACTGTATTGCGAATTTTTACTATCTTAAACTATTCAACAAATACCAATTAATTATTTTGAAATTCTGATATAATTTATGGAACTTTTAAAGTCTAAGACTTTTAACAAAAGTTTTTTCAATTTAAGACTAATACTGTGAAAAAGTTTAAAATATGAGTATATTTTATAAAAATTTCATATTTCAAAAATTAATTTTATTGCCATTTTTATATTCTTTAATAAAACATAGATTGCAACAATTTCAAAACTAAAAAAACATTACAATATAATATTTTAGGAATATTTAAAGAAAAAAATTTAAATTATCAAGAAAATATAGTAATGTTGATAGTTTTAAAGGTTACTATTGTATTTAGCAATTAATTTTAATTTACAGACCAAAATTTTATTACTACAAAATAATCAATTTATAAATAACAATTATATTAAAAAAAGATACTGTATATATTACTCTTTTTCAATAAAGTTAGAAAAATTCTAAAGAATAGATTAGACTTTTATTAAAATTTAATTTGCTTATAAATATTAAATCAAAATAAGAATTTTTAAACTTTTAGACTTGTTTGAAAAGTAATATAAAAGATCAATATAAAATTAATTTTAAAAATAAATTAAAAATTGCAATATATTAATAGTAATTTAATTTGAATGATTTTAATATTTTAATAGATTATATAATAGCAATATATTATATAAAATTAATATTAATTAATTTAAATAGAATTTTTTAAATAAGAAATATAATTACAGTTAATAATAAAACAATTGATATATAATTATTTATATATATTGTTTTTAATAAGAAAATAATTAATATTTAGTAAATAGGAAATAAATTTAACTTCAAATTCTTATAATTCTATAGAAAAGATAATATATATTGTAGCTTTAAATATTTATAATAAACAAGTATTATACTAATTTAAAATAAATATATAATAACAACAATTAAAATATACAAAAAAAGTTTAATAATATTATTTAAAATATTAATTTTATAAATTATTTTTATATAAAATTAAAAGAAATAGTTAAGTATCCCTTAAATTATAATGCAGGCAAATTTGCCTGCATATTTAAAATTTTAATAAGTTTTTAAATATTATTTTTATAACTTACTTATATTATAAGAAATATAGTTTAAAATATTCTTTATTAACTTTATTAAGTAAATAAAATTTTATTAGAAACTTTTAAAATAAATAACTTTAAACTTTGTGTTTAAAATTTTAATATAAAAAATTATATAAAATTTAATATACATTTTATAATTAAATCATTAAAATTATAATAATTAAAGTTATTTTTTGCAAATAATTTTAAAAAACTAATTATACTTATATAAATTTTAATTTAAAAAATTTAATGCCTTTAGATATTTTTTAGCATATTGAATCAAAATTAAAAAAAAATTGAAAAAATCAATATAAAAAATTAATCATTTAGAAAAAATAGTCATAATATTACAAAATTAATAAAAATTAATTATTGTATTGTTAATTGTTATAATTATATTATTAATAATAAAAATTTTTTATTAGATTTTCATTAATGCATTGCTTGTATTATTTAAAGTTAATAATTACAATTAAATATTTGTCAATTATTAAATTATATAGGATATATTATATATTATGATTATGTAACTAATGATTTTTTATTTATTTATTTATTTATTTTTTTTTTTTTTTAATACCAGAACGGCAATTAGTACCTTTATTACTTGTAAGGGATTACTGCATGGCAATATTACAAATCT